GCGTCGATCCCCAGGTGAGGGGTCTTTCGCATCTTGATGAGCGCCGCGGTGATCCCCAGCGCGGTGAGCTCAAGCTTCTTCGTCTTCATGTGAATGTGGCCGTCAAGCATCTCAAGGGCTGGTATCGACAACAGCAGTGGCGTCCCGTAGGTATCTCCATTGAAAGCGCCTCGCCACGGTAGCCGCCGATGCCAATCGGAATGATCCAGACCTCGCCCTTTTGCATGGTGCCGTTCGCGAAGGTGAAGAGGCTATGATTGCCGGTTGGTCGGCGCGCCAAGCCAGGTGGTAGAAATTGTTAGAACCGCTGCCTCCAATGCTTGCTGTGCATGCAAAGGGTGCATGCAGTGTCGACCAGCGCAACGGCGTCGAAGTCGACTGAGTGAAACGCGCTGTCATTGGCGACTACGAAGGCTGTCTTAGCCTTTCCCAGCTGGTCATTGACTGAGCTCATCCCCAGCGTTGAACAAGATGAGCTTGCGCTTGTCGAGCTGCCCGGCCGCAAACTCGAAGGGCGTCTCCAAAATGGGCGCCTCCGTCCTTGACCCAGGAAGCTCCCCGAACTTTGCGGGGGACGTCGAGCCCCCTCCTTGGCCCTGCCCACGCGTAGGCACGAAACGAACGGCTCGAAGAGCCGTCCTCGTTCAGCTTCGCCTGACCCACCTCGTAGTCATACGTTCCCTTGCACTTCATGACGGTGAGGTAGTTCGGGCACCCGTAGAACTTACTCCCGTTGACCTTGTTGATCTTCAGCGTCGTGCCGACGCGGTAGCACACGGGGCAGGTAAGTTCGTTGGCGTGGTCGATGAACTCTCAGGTCGCTGTCATTGATGATGCGGCCGAGCTCGCTGAATTCTTCTTCGTCTTCGGCTTGGTGATCGGCTTGCTGTCCAACTCCAGCTTGATCTGCTCTCGACGCTCCTGAATCTGCTTGTATACCTTCATCTCCGAGTAGAGTGGGCAGCGCACGTCACCTCCATGATGCCCGTACTTGCCGCAGTCGGCGCACTTCATGTTTTCGCCCTGCAGGCCCGCCGAAGTCCCCAAGCACGATGCTCCTGCCGTCTTTGCCATACTGCACCCCTTCTTGACCTGCGCGATGCCCGCGTAGTATCCCGTCAGCCGCTCGATGAGGATCTCCCGCTTGCCACTCACCTGCAGGTTGAGCTCGTTCAAGCGCTTCTTCAACTCGTAAACCTTCCACTCACCGAAGTTCTCGGCCGGGGTAAACTCCTGCGGCGCCTTCGTCGGCTTGGTCTTCGGCTTGGCCTTGGGCTTGGGTGCTGCTGCCGCTGCTGCCGCTCCTTCAGACTCCTTCCGGTCTTCGTCGTAGTTCCGGTTGTGGTAGCCGTCATCCTCGCGCTCATCCTCTGGCTCGCCGTCGCTCGAGTCCTCATAGCACGAGTCGCGGTCGTCCTGATCTGGCTCGCCGTTGGCCGCGAAAGCGCCCGCGTCGGCGCCGCCCATCTCGTTGTCCATGTCGTCCATGATCAGGGTGAAGAACGCGTGCTTCGGCTTCCCGGGCTTTGCCTTGCTCTTCGGCTTGCCGCCCTCACCACCTCCGAACTTCTCGGCGCCCTGCTGTCCGCTCTTCGGGCAGTCCTTGTCGCCTGCCCAGTGTCCGATACGCCCGCAGGCTCCACATCGAGTCCGTTTCTTCTCTTCTCTGATCGCTTCCTGACGCTCCTCAAAGGTAACCTCGCCCTTGAAGAAACCCCGTTGCTTCTGTGTGTCCTTCAGCTTCTTGCGCGCCGCCTCATAGGCGTCGCTGTTGTCGTCGGCCTCGTCGACTGCATTGGCCTGCTCCTCTTCGTCAAACTCCTCGTCCGAGATGTCTGACTCATCGTGGTCCTCCACCTGATTCGCCTTCCCTCGGTGGCCCTTGTTCCACTTCTGGTTGCTCTGCTTGTGCTGGTGCTGGTGCTGCGGGTTCCTCCGTTCTTTCTCGTGTACGTCATGGAAACTGACCCTGAGCGCATGCAAGAAGGCCTCCAATTTGTACTCTGAGCCACTGTTCATCACTATTTTCCTCTTCTGCTCCTCTGAGAGCCCCGCGCCATCCAGCAAGGAGTAGGAAATCAGGTCATCCGAAAGTCTCGTCGTGCTACCTCTCTCCTGCAGGTCCTCCCACAGGTTCTCCTTGTTCGCTAAGTACTCGCCCATGTCGGTTCCGCGCTTCCTGTAATTCCGCTTGAAAAAGCTATCAAGCGCCATCCCCTTCTTCACGATGGCCTCCTTGTCTAGCGATGCCAGCGCGTCAAAGATCAGCTGCTCGCCGTTCTCGCGCCTCAGCTCCTTCGGGGTGGCTGCCAAGTGTTCTGTCCTCTTCCAGACCCGTCCATGTTGTCCGTCCAGCAGCTTAACCCGAAACCTTCTTTGCTTCTTCCCTAAGCTTTTCTCTTCGTCTGAGCCCGATCCCTCGAGCCTCGCTAGCGCCAGGATGACTCTCTTCTTATACTCTTTCAGCAGGTCTGAGTTCGCGCCCGCGTAGTGCGGCAGCCCATCTCGGTCCACCACAATCATCACCATCACGGTAGTGCGAGCGGCCTTGACCTTGGTCGTTCATCTTGAAGCTGCTTGCGTATTGGGCTCAATGTCCGTGTTGGTGGGCGTTCGGCCACGCCCACGAGTCGAAACCACAAGCTCCGATATACCAGTCTGATTGTCGATCTGGTTGTTTTGCACTCCCGCTGGCTAGCGGACCAAATCAACTCTGCTGTTCGCGGGGGCTCAGTCGAGCCCAGTACGATAGCTAAAGCTAAAAAGGCCGGCCTCGAGACCCCAAATACGGCGACGGGCATGCGCAGTGCACGGAGACGGGGCGATGGGGAAAAGGGAAAGGAAAACAGTGAGAGGCTAGGCTGGCGGGCCTCCAGAGGGCCCACAAGGCTTGCTAGGCACAGGCTCAGGTCTCACTCACTTGGGCCCCTGAGGCCGCACATAGATCTCCCCTGGAGAATCTCAGATCTGACTTGAACGAGTCGGAGTCGTGCTGCTGCTCTCCGTCGTGCTGCTCAAGGATGCGGTGCTGGTAGCAGTCGTGCTGCTCTCTGAAGTGGTGCTCGACGCACTGCTGGTCTGAGTTGAAGAAGTCGGAGTCGTGCTGCTGCTTTTCGTCGTGCTCGTTATACTGTTGGACACACTCGTGGAAGTCAAGGTCGCGTACTGCTTCCCGTCGAGCTGCTCAGCGAAGTGGTGCTAGACAGGGTGCTGGTTTCACTGGTCGATGTTGGGGTTGTGCTGCTGCTCTCCGTCGCGCTGCTCAAAGATGCGGTGCTGGTAGCAGTCGTGCTGCTCAATGAAGTGGTACTCGACGCACTGCTGGTCTCGCTGAGCTGCGTTGCCCACAAGCAGTCGTCGCACGTGCCCGGCAGGGCCTCGTAGCCGCCGAAGCTCCAGCTGGGCGAGCACCAGGTGCCCGACGGGCAGTCCTCGTTGCGGACGCAGGTTGGGTTCAGGGCCCCGAGGCTGACGGAGTGGAGCACGATGGCCTGGAGCAGCAGGAGCAGGGCAGACGGCAGACGGCACCAGGGCGCAGCACCTGCCGCAGCATGTGGCGCCCTGCCGCGTGGCGGCAGACATGCCCCAGGCGTGCACACCGACGCAGTTGATGTTCCTCTGGGTCAGGTCAAGGAAATCAGCGTACGCGGCCTGCTGCCTATCGGGATCCGTCTCCGCCTCGGCGCCGTAGTCGTTGCCCTCCTCGGGCACGGCGGGCAAGGACCCCATGTCCTCGTCCGTCGACGGCGCCCGCGTGGCGCCGGCGTCCGCCGCGGGGTGCCACGCATGGGAATTGTGCACGCTCCTCTCCATCTTTGCCACCCAATCGGACAGCGCCCCGACGTGCGCCTCGATGGCCGCGTTGCTTGCCTGGAGGTTCCTGTCCGCTCGCCTCTCCACGTTGTCGAGCGCATTGTAGGCGCCCGACTCCTCGGCCGCGGTGAGGCCGCCGCCCTCGCCGAGGCCGCCCACGGCGTCAGAAACGAACTGCAGCATGCTGCCTTGCGTGGTCGCCGGCCTCAGGCGTGGGGCCGGAGATGAGCTCCTGGAGGATCGCGAGGAGGACCTCGAGCTGCCTGCGGCGTCTGGGCGCGGAGAGCGCGGAGAGCGCCTCGCGCTGCCTGCGGCGTCTGGGCGCGGAGAGCGCGGAGAGCGCCTGTCTCGGCCCATCCCGCCGCGCCGGTCCTGCACACGCACCGGCCAAGCACAAGAGCCCACGGGTGCGCGGAGGCGCGGGCCGCGCCAGCTACTTTGGGCCGGCGGTTCTTGAGCCAAAATGGCTACGGGCTCCGCGCGGATTTCTTGGATCGGAGCTGGGCCCCCTCTTCCCTGGCGCGCGGAGCGCGCCAGGGGCGGCGCCAGAAGCGCCGCCACGGGGGTCCAGCGCCGATCCAACGCATCCGCGCGGAGCTCCAGAGTTTGTGTTTATGCCGCTTCTTCTCCTTCCTCCTCGTCTTCTTCTTCATCATCTTCTCCTTCTTCCTTGTTGTCCTTCTTCTTGTTCTTTTCGGGACCAGTGGCGTCGACCACGGCGGACACGAGCACGGCGACGGCGACGACTCGGCTGCGCGCCCACGGGGCTGGAACGAGCGGGACGGCCGCAGCCGTCGTCGCCGCCGCACAGTCGCTGTAGTCGCCGCCGCCTTCGTCGTCCGTCGTCCGTCCTCGTCCTCGCCCTCGCCGCCGCCGCCGCAACCGTTGCTGTAGCCGCCGCCGCCGCCGCCTTCGTTGTCGGCCGCAGTCGTCGTCGGCCTCGCCGCCGCTGCCTTCGCCACCGCCGCCTTCGTCGCCGTCGCCGTCGCCGTCGCCGTCGCTGCCGCCGTCGTCGTCGTCGTCGTCGACGTTGTCGATGGCGGCGACGACGACGGAGACGGTGACGTTGACGGCGGCGGCGACGACGACTCGAGGTCGTAGCTGCAGTCGTCGACGTCGTCATTCTGTTCGTTCGACAAACTGTCATCGAGGTCTCCGTTGTCGTGGCCGTGGTCGTCGAGCATTGTCTAGCGAGGGATCCCCGGCATGCCTGCGTGAATCGGTGCAAGTCGAGGCCCTGGGAGGGGTTCCAGTCGAAGGTGTGGCACATTGCCTGCGGCTTCGGAGCAGCGAGCAGGAAGGAGGAGGGAGGAGGACGAGGAGGGAGGCTGGGAACGATGGGGAAGAGAAAGAGACAGAGAGAGAGAGAGACAGAAATAAAGAGAAAGAGAGAGAGAGAGAAACAGAGAGAGAGAGAGAGCGAGAGAGAGGAAGAGAAATGGAGAAGTGAGGGGGAAACTTGGGAATCGGAGGGGTGAGGGAGAGGAAGAACGAGGAGGCGGAGGGAAGAGAAAGCAAGTGAAGAGGGGAAACGGGATGAATGACGACGAGGGAGGGGAGGGAGGAACATGAGGAGGGGGAATGATGATGAGGGGTAGAAAGAGGGAAGAGGCGAGGGGAGATAAGAAAGAGAGAAAGAGAGGGAGAGAGAGAGAGACAAAGGGAGAGAGAGGCGGACGCGGAAGGGGAGCTGGATCTGGAGAACTAGAAAAGAATACCCTGACTGATGATTAGGGCTCTGATGATGCCGATGATGACGATGGGGATGATGGTGTTTGTATCCATTTTCCCGGGTTGTGCGTGTCATCCTTGCGCAGGGGCCTTGCTAATTTTTTCAGTTTCGTCCCAATTCTAACAGACGGCCCTCGAAAGGGATCCATGGTGTTGTTGTGATTGTGCTGATGGTATCTGTGTATATGTATGCTCCTCGAGAATTTCGGCTCTGACCAAAGCTGGGAGGATTGAAACACTAGGGGAAACTATGCAATGTTAGAAACGTGCACGCGACCGCCACTGAACTACCATATTAAAGTTATGTAGCACAAGGTCACTCCGCTGGGCAACTACATTCCAGGGTTCCAGGGTTCGGAAGGTGAGGACAACGAGAGAAGGACTCCCACCTTGAGACGGGCGGGATCTCTCACGTTCAGGAGTTCGCGATGTCGTGCCCGCCGATACTGCGTCTGCACTAGATCCGCCGGCCCCCTTGCAGGGCCGTCAGGCTCGGAGGTGTCGTACTCCCTGCACCAGCTTCAGTTTCCAGTTTCCAATGTTACAGTGCTGCTTTCTGCTTCCTGCTGTAATTTGTTGCTGTCCGCGCGAGGGGGGGGAGCCAGAAACCACCCTGATTAGCACGCCCGAATCGTGTGCTCTGAATTTTTTGGGGGCCGTGGGACACCTAAAAACACTTGAGATTCGCGCTCCCGACGCAATCTCCCATCGTAAATTACACTGCCTTCGCGCCCCCGAGGCAAACATCCTTTGTAATTTATGTTTCATTTGCGTCCCCGAAGCCACGATCCATCGTAAAATACATTGTGCTCACGCTCGTGAGGCCACGATCCCGCGTAACTTATACTATGTTCTCGCCTTTGGGGCCACGATCCCCCGTAAATTACGCGACAATCGCGCCCCCGAAGCGACGATCCCTTATAAATTACGCCGCATTCGCGCCCACGAGGCCACGATCCCGTGTAAATCGCGCCACATTCGCGCCCCCGAGGCCACGATCTCATACAAGAGGCCCCAAGAGGCGCCCAAGAGTCCTCCAAGAAACCCAAAAGATACCCGACGAGGCCCCAAGAGGCCCCCAAGAGGCGCCCAAACCGCCTCCAAGAGGCCCCCGAGAGGCTCCCCACGACACCCCAACACATATACAAGAGGCCTCAGACCCACGACCCAGGCACGGTGGCGGGATGGGCCGAAGGCCACTCGGATCCGCCGCCCCCTGTTGATTCATCACAAGGGTGCCTGGCGTGCTAGACCCTTTCGGTTTTGGTTTTGGTTCTTTTCCAAAAGAACTCCCCCTGGGGCTCCGGCACGTCCCGCCGGCCACCCGAAAGGATCTTCCACAGGTGGTTGCCGAGGGTTTTCCTGCCCCTGATGGCTCCAAGATGACCCAAGATGGCCTCCAAGACGGCTAAGATGGCCCCAAGATGCGTCCAAGACGGCCCAAGATGCACCCAAGACGGCCTGAAATGACCTCAAGATGGTCCAAGACGGCCGAAGAGGCCCCCAAGAGGCCTCCAAGTGGTCCCCTAGAAGGGGTCAAAGAGGCCAACATTATTTATTTTCCTTAGGTTCTTGAAGGATTTTGGCATTTGCTTCTTTTCGGCCTCCCGACGGCTCAAGATGGCCCAAGAGGCCCCCACGAGCGCCCCCACGAGCGCCCCAAGATCGCCCACGAGGCCTCCAAGATGGCCCCACCAAGAAGCCCCCAAGACGGCCCCAAGAGGGCCCCAAGATGGCCTCCAAGACGGCTAAGACGGCCCCAAGATACCTCCAACACGGCCCAAGATGCACCCAAGACGGCCTGAGATGGCCTCCAAATGGCCTAAGACGGCCCAAGAGGCCCCCAAGAGGCCTCCAAGAGGTCTTCCAGGAGGGCCCGAAGAGGTCAACATTATTGGCTTTCCTTTTGAAAGATTTTGGCATTTGCTTCTTCTCGGCATTCCGACGGCTCAAGACGGCCCGAGAGGCCCCCAATATCGCCCACGAGGCCCCCAAGATGGCCCTATGACAGCCCAAGAAGCCCCCAGGAGGGCCCAAGGGGCCTCCAAGACGGCCAAAATGGCCTCCAAGACGGCTAAGATGGCCCCAAGATGCAGGCCAAAATCATTGATGTTCCTAAGGTGTTTGACAGATTTTGGCGTTTGCTTCTTCTCGGCATTCCGACGGCTTAGACGGCGCAAGAGGCCCCCAAGATCGCCCACGAGGCCTCCAAGATGGCCCCATGACGGCCCAAAAGGCTCCCAAGACGGCCCCAAGAGGGCCCCCAAACGGCCCAAGAGGCCCCCAAGACGCCCAAGATGGCCTCTAGGAACCCCATCCAAGAGGGCCCCAAGACGACCCAGACAGGCCCCCAAGACGGCTTCCGGCGGCGTCAGACAAGCCAGGAACGCCCTAAGACGGCCAAAGAGGCCCTCAAGAAGCCCCCAAAGGCCCCCCCAAACCCTCCAAGAGGCCCCCAGGAAGCTCCCAGGAGGCCCCAAGAGTGCCCCAAGAGGCGCCCAAGAGGCCTCCTCCTCCTCCTCCTCCTCCTCCTCCTCCTCCTCCTCCTTCTCCCCCTTCTCCTCCTCCTCCTCCTCCTCCTCCTCCTCTTTTTTCCTCATCCTCCCCCTCCTCCTCTTCTTGCTCCTCCATGCGTTCCCCGAGGTCTTTCCAAACCGACTCGGGGAACAACTGGCCCGATAGCTTGGCCAAGCTCTGGCCCAGCTGTCGGCCACAGATGCGCTTCCAAAGGGGCAGGGGGCGGCGGTGATTCGCCGTAGGCGTCTTCGATAACGCCAACGTTTCAATATGCGTTAATGACTCCTATCCGCCCCCGCATGCTGTTCCCAGATGCGCCACGGCAGCGCCGAGACGCACGGACGCGACTCTGTCATATCCCATTATGATAGAGAGGGGGCAGGCGGCAGGGGGCGAAGCCCCTACGGATATCCATCCCAATCAAGTACGCAGAATTTGTTCGGACCGCATAGTCTTGCCGTGCGTGGTGTCCTGGGGGATGGGCTTATGGCTGCTTTTGTTCCTGGACCCGAGAACTTTTCCGTGCGTGGTGTCTTGGGGGGGGCCCGAGCTGAGCGAACTGATCCCTTCTGGGCGTCCGCCCCTTTGTGCCCCGGAACGAGCGGCTTCTCACTGCGCTGTCGCACAGAAGGGGTCGCTTCTCGAGCGGCGCGTGATGCGGGCAAAAAACAGAGCGCCAACAGAACCGCGTCTTCTAGGCCTGTGCGATTCGATGCTCCATCGCCGTCCCGTCGTGTCCGTCGTGGGAAATCGTCGCTCCTCAAACCTCGATGCCCTCCTGCCTCGGGGTTCTCGTGATGCCCTGGCCCTGGGTACTGGCGGTCTCGTTCCAGCAGGAGGCCTCGGGAAGTGACGTGCTAGACCGCTGGCATTCGCTGAACTCCGCCTCGTATCCACCTTCGCGCACACACATGTAACCAGTTCGGTCGTGCTTTTCACATTCCTTCGGGTGCGTCTCAGGGTCGAGAATTTGCCCGCGAAGCAGAGGATGGGGATAAACAGGTCCTGGTCGCGGTCGGTGGGTGCTTGCCAGCGGAAGCCCAGTCATAAATATCCCTTGCGTATGTCGGCGAAATGGTCGATCGCGGCGTCGGGCCTAATGCTGCGCAAAAACGGCGCTGCAAGGCCCCTGCACAAGAACGCGCTGCGGGCCGAACACGCGAGGTCATCTAATGAAACGGTCACCGGCGCCCCCCGATCCCCGAGATCACGAGTTCCAAGTTTGCTTGAGCTGCGGGCCCCGCGGTCAGTGTAGTCGTGGGCCGTGAGGATATCTGCCGCGAAAGTGAACGGCGAATTCTCGGGGTCAATTGCGTTGCTCAAATGCTGTCCCCCTTGCAGGGCCATCAGGCTCCGCGGATTAGGCTTGCTGCCACCTCCTGCCCCAGGTCCAGTTTCCAGTCTCCGATGTTACAACTCAATGGGGGGGGAGGCCGACAAGGGCCCTGGTTGCCCTTGCCTGGGGGGGTTCTCAGAATTTCTGGGGGGCCCCGGGACGCGTGGGAATGCGCGAGATTCGCGACTCCGAATCGGTGGTTCAAAGATGGTGTCCTGAGGGATGGGGTCCTAAGGACGAGCTGCGTTCAACAACGTAAATCCGCCCTTGGATACCTTCTCATCCGCAGGTCCCCATTGCTGAGGACTCCATCTTTGAGCCACCGACCGAAGCCATCGCACCCTGTGAACGCCATGTTCGCGCCCCCAAACCCATAATCCCGCGTGGATTGCACAATATTCGCGTCCCCGAGGCCGTGCGCCCTCGCGAGTTACACTGTGCTCGCGCTCCCGAGACCAGAATTCCTCGCGAATGAAACAATTTTCGCGTTTCCGAGGCAATACCCATCGGTCGGAAGAAGTAGGTAGACACATGAAGTAGGAAGGCGTTGAAAATAGATTGGGTGTCCGCCCGCCCCCTGAGGAGGACGGAAAAGGTGAAGCCACTCGATCATTGAAGTAGGAAGGCGCTTAAAGGAGATTGGAATCTGGGAATCCCAAAATACCTACTTTCAACGACCGATGGGTACTCTCTCGTGAATTGCGCCACGTGCACCTGGATATCCCAAATGGCCCCCGTTCGCAGTTCCGACGCTACTTTGCGGCGGCGTCCGGGCCTCGCAACATAGCTCTTGCATGGCCCATTCTTCGACAGAGTGGGCTGGCGACAGGGGGCGAAGCCCTTGCGGATAACTGTGTCAATGTAACTATCGCATTCCCAGCTTGAAACATCTGTTTGAACAGCAAATTCGTACAATTTGGAACTTTGAGCAAGGAACGCAATGGCTTCTCGGGCCACTTCTAGCCTTGGCCACGAATGCGGTCCCCGACGTAGGTCTGAAGGAACCACCCGAAAGGCGGAACCCTTCTGTGCCAGAGGTGGTTCTGATTTCAGCGTCTAGAGTACAAGACACACGCCCCGTGGGTGTTGGTATCACCTTTTCTTGCAGAACGATTTTTTTTCTGAACGTATACTTTCGCAGATCCGCGCGGATCTCTTTGATCAGGGCTGATCCGCCCCATGGGAGGCACCTCGCATCTTCGCATTTTTCTGCTTGACTTGATGGGCGTTGCTGCTGCTGCTGATATTGTTGATGTAGTTGTTGTTGTTGTGCTTGCTGGTTCAATCGGCCCAATGATCGACTCACCGCGACAGCTCTGCAAGTTATGCTGGCCCCAATCGTTGAGGGCAATGGCTGCTCCCCTGCGGAAAACAGACATACACAGCAAGACTTGTTACGGATGAGGAAGGGGAAAACAACAACAGATGGCGAATGATACGAATTCGCTCTGAACATGTATCGCCCCCATGGTGTTTACATGATGCTTTCTGTTTTTCGATCCTCCCTGCCACCCGAACGACGAACTTAAACAAGTCCTACGCACGTTGATATAAGGACTCTGCTGCACGGTGGCTTATGCGGGCCGCCAACGCAGAACGCTTCACTGCAAACGAGAGCTCGTACGCACGACCCTACGCGGACAACTTACGCGCGAATGTCCGCGCAAGCAGACCAATTTTTCTGTGTCGCTCGTCCGGAAGCGGCACGCCCTGTGCGCGTGCGGTCGGGGGGCGCCTTCCACTCCTCGGCCCACCTGCGGTCCCCGCCGCTGAAGCCGCAGAGCTCGGCGAAGCGCCAGACCTCGCGCCCGCCCGAGGCAGGTCCAAAGGCGCAGACAGCCAAACACCCGAGTACGGCGGGTTCACGTCATGACGACTTGCGCGTTGGTTCACGTCGGCAGCGGCGGCAACGGCGGGGGCGACGGCGCCCGCGCGGCTGCGAAAGCGTGCGATGCGGTGACGGCGGTGCTGGTCATGGCATGGGTCGTCTGGGAAGCCGAAGTCGCCATCGGCGGCGACGACGACGCGAACGACGTCGGCAACGACATTGGCGGCTGCAGATGCGCGAATAATCGTGGCGGTCCCGGCCGTGCCCGAGCCCAGGAATGTTGCAATTGTGAGCGGCTCGTCAAACCACCAATGGTTCACGTCGTGACGATTTATGAAATGGCTTCCGACACCGCGAGGACCGTTCAATCTTGTACGATTGTGGCTTTCCTGTGTCGCCGATCGCTCGACATCGGCCGATCAATCGTGAACGTCCGCGCTGGGGTCACCGCCTCGTTGACACGACGTGAACACACAATACGTTGTACACCCAATTCGGCTAACATACGCGAATACATGGCACCCGGGGGTGATTCGGACCTGCTGGAGAAAATCACAGCAAAACGAGGCCCATCCTCAATGGTCAAAATCGAGCCACGCAACAATGAACAACTACCGTGCTCGTCCTTGCACGGGTTTGGCGGATAATCCGCTTATCCGCGGAACTCATGTCGTGAGCATCAGGCGAAAACCCGATTTCTGAACAAATTGTAACAAACTCTCGTGCGAGAACGGATTCCTGGACGTCGAGAACGCAACGATTTAGTACTTTCTACGGACACCCTAAGCGTGAGCGCGATTTCAAATGAACTGTTAGTCAGTCCCAAAGCATGTGTTTCTAACACTCTATGCTGCGCAATTTATGTGGTGCGATCTGCAGCCAAACCGTATAACAAAAATGTGCGGTAAGGGTGCAAAGGCCTGCGCGGGCCATCCGACACTTTGCGAGCGGGGCGCGGCCAGCGAAAGTGGCCAAGGATGGGCCGAAAAGGGACGGATGCAAACATAACTTTGGAACATGTTCATACTTACTATGCTGGTTGACAGTATGTGGCGCAGTTGATGTAATGCAATCTGTGTGGTGCTCAATCCATGTGGTGCACTCGACGTGGTGCAATCTGTGCGGTGCAATCTATGTTTGCAATTCGTAAAGAAGAACTGGGAGTTATGAAGTCCACTGTTGGCGCAATCACCCACCCACCTTTAAGTAGGTTTTCGAAACCCATGCTGCGGATATTGCGATAGCTGTTTGAAGCTGGCTGGCGCACCGTTGCGGCCGCGCTGCTGCGCGCATGTTCGCGCGCACAACGGCGAACTAGTTTGGCACAGCCGATGCGACCACGCTGGCGTTAACCGAAGAGGGCTTCCCAGCGCGTCTCACAAGCCGCGCTGGCGCGCGGACATCCCACTGTGAGTCGGTGGCCCGGGCGGGCGCACTATCATGGTGACGTCGGCAACAATGAAAACGATGATGGTAACGATGGCGGTGACGATGATGACGATGACGACGGCACGGCCAGTGACAGCGCCGATGCTACTCACGCTGGTGACGATGATGGCGTCCACGTGTCGGTGATGAAAATTTTGGAAGGATTTCGACATGCGCGCGCGGCCGGCGCGCGCGACTGGCCCGCATGAAGTGATTTGGCAGGGATCGTGCCCCCCAGCAATCGCACAACGGGCGTTCTAGTGACTCCGAAATGCGCGCGCGCGAGCGGCCCGCCTGGTCGCAGTCAGTAAACATGTTGGAAAACTGGTGGTTCCCTTCACGATTCGCAAGAGCGCGGGCGCATATATTTTGACATACTATGCTGCAGCACAATTTGCGTTTGTGCGTGAGTGGGTGTTTCTTCGCTTTTCGGGAGCGTCGGATCTCTTTTCAAGTCCTTGCGTTTTTGTGTGTGTGTTTTGTTCTGCATTCCCCACCGCCATGCGCGCGCGGCGCGCGTCGACTCTGTATCATGTTTTTCGCGAAAAATTTGTGACACAGGCGGTATGGGATGAACGAGCCTGCGCTCATCGTACGATCTGACAAAGATGAGGGTGCGTGTAGGGGTCGATAACGGGACTCCCCCGGGATGGTGTATGAACTCATGCCTAAGCCGAACGATGGGGCAAAACTTTGTGCAAATCGTAACTTCCAGAGAAAACCGATCAACCCAGAAGGGTAATTCTTGGTTGTAGAAATTTCGTGGCGCAATTGATTTGGAAGAATTTCGATGTGTTCTTCAAGCCCACCGCTATCGCAATCACGCCAGCCACCCGCAAATTGGTTTACAACACTCCTGTGGCGCGATTGCGCTAACGCTTCGCGCTGGTTGGCATCTCTGCGGCCGCGCTACCGCGAACCAGCTTGCGCGCAGAACGGCCGGCTAGTCTTGCACAACCGACGCGGCCGCGGTGGCGCCGACCGATGGGCGCTCTTCAGCGCGTCTCTCAGGCCGCGCTGGCGCGCGGAAGCTTCAGTGCGAGTCGGTGATTCGGGCGGGCGCGGTATGGTGGTGACGCCGACATCGGTTGACGAGATGATTAGAATCTCGATGATGGTGGCATGGTGGCGATGACGACGGCAGCGCCAATGCCAATGACGGCGGCATCGATGTTGATCACGCCCGCCAAGCGATGGCGATGTCCTCGCGTCGGTGCTGAAAATTTGGAACGTGCTTGACATGCGCGAGAGGCCGACGCGCGCGAGTGGCCCGCGTGGTGTTATTTGACGCGGATCGTGCCCCGCCCCCCCCCCCCCCCAGCACGCGCGCAATGGCGTTCGGATGGGTTCGATATGCGGCGCGAGAGGCTCGTTCGGCAGAGTTCGGTGTCAATGTTGAGAAACGTGGTTTTCTTCAGCATTCGCCAGGGCGCGCGCGCATTTCGTTTGTTTGTTTTTGGTTTGTTCGGTTGAAAACCCTCGCGGCAACAAAAAAAAAAAAAAAACATGTGTGGTTATATTATTTCGGAAAGCTTGCTTTGAATTCCGCGGTTTTCGCAGTGGACGAATATCGATATGTGTGTGTACATATGTACACATGCTTTCTGGTCGAAAAAAAGATGCCGACATGCGCGCGCGGCGACGCGCGAAAGTGCACTTCGCCCCTCTTCTTCGGCAGAGGATTATTGCAAGGGCGCTCGGGTGATTTCGATGAGAGCGCACGAGGGCCTCATGTGATAGCTTTTTAAAATTGAACTGCTGAAGCGCCCGTGGTTTGCTTACGGGGGCACGGGCGCAGGGTTCTCTCCTCGTTGCTTGAAAGCCCTGTTTGCGAAACCAGGTGTTAGACGCACGCGCGCGCGTGCATCTTTTTTATATATATATATATATTATATATATATATATATATATATAATTCTGTATACACTACGCATTCCCCTCCTAGCCCCGTTAACTGAACAGAAGGAGGGAGAGCCATATTTTGGCGACGACCGCGAGCACAGCCGCAGGCTCTCCGCCCCGTCCAAAAGACGGGGGAGCAGAGTTGCGGGGTGGGAGGTGGAAAAAGCGCTGCTTAACCTAAACAGCTGCGGGAGCAGGGAGGAGGAGGGGCGACAGAGCACTACGGCCAGGGGGGAATAAAACCGTTTAGGCGTATGCCAAACGAAACCATATTCCCCTCCTAGCCCCGCTAACTGAACAGAAGGAGGGAGAGCCATATTTTGGCGACGACCGCGAGCACAGCCGCAGGCTCTCCGCCCACGCCCGCCCCGGGCCGCTCCCCAGGGGGATCGCCCTAACGGCGCCCACCCTCCCTCCAAACAAAGATGGCCCTAGGGGTCCGCCAGTGAGACAGAGGAGGGGCGAGGGGCAGGGAGCCGGAGAGGAGGAAGAGAGGCGGGCCCGCCATCGCCCCGCGCAAAACCCTGGGTGCCAAGCGCGCTAATCACAGTAGCGCGGCACCGCAACTACGACTCAGCTCCCACCGGGCCCTGCCCTCCCTCAACCGGGGGGGGGCCAACGCTGAGTTGGTCCCAGAAACGCGGTGCCGCCCAAACGGCGACGCAGGCAAAGGCGTGCGCAGCAGGCGAACGCCAGCCAGGTCACCCGCCCCCGGGTGCAGTCCAAGCTAAAGCGGTAGACACTGCAGAGTGCAGGACACCGAGGGGGCCAACACAGCGCCGATCCCTTGAAAGTGCGGTGCCGCCCAAAAACGGCACAGACAAAGACGTGCGCGGCACTGGCGACCGCCCGCAAGGCCACCCGCCCACGGGTGCCATTCAAAAAGAGGGGGGGGGGTTCAAGCACGCAGCCTCCCAGACGGCGCCGCGAGGTGCGGGCAGCACGCGCAGCACGCGGGCGGGCGGCGTCTATGGGCCACCGGAACTGGCCATCGCTAAATCGCGTCGAATGGCGAACTAACCGGTCCCGGGGAGCCAAATGCACATCCCTCCCGCGCGCCTTGACGAGAGTAAAAGTTTGGCGGGCCCGAGTGGCCAGCCCGGCAAAGGTCGGAGCGGACAAGATCGGAGCGGAAACCAAAAACTCCGGGAAGGTGGGGCCCCTCGGCCCCCTTCCCTCCAAACGCGGGCGGTCTCAACGGCCCGCCGCTCCTTCCCCCCTCCGCCGCCCGGCCGCTCGGCCGCCTGGGAGGGGGTGCCCGCCTGGCCAGCGTCGGCGCCGGCGCCGATGCCGTAGGCGGGGCTGCAGTGGGCGCCTCCTTCAGCACCGCTGGGCGTCTCCGCCCGGCCGCGGGCGCGGTGGCGCTCGCATGGCGCCCCAGCACTCGACCGCATGGCCGATCGGCCGCGGCGGGGAAGGGGCACCCCGCCAGTCGGCGTCGGCGCCGCCGTTGGTGCCGCGGGCGAGGCGGCAGTGGGCGCCTCCACGGCGCTGCTGTCGGCGCAGTCGTCGGTGATGCAGTAGGTGATTCCGCCAATGCAGCGGTTGGCACCGTCATCGGCGCTGTAGGGGACGCCGTCGCCGGCGCCTTGGGCAGGATGGCGTCCGGGCAGCGATCGAACTCGACCTTCAGCGCGCTGGTGGCGCCCTCGGCGCTGAGGGCACCACGTCCCCTGCCATGAGGCCCCTGCAAGAAGGAGAGCGGCTCGGGCCCGCCGCTAGTGTGGGGGAGCTGCCCCAACACGCGTCCTCCCTGGGGCACCTCTCCCCCAGGGTATCCCTCCACTGGGGAGGCTTCCCAGCTCGCAGTCCCCCCCCTGCCGTCGGCGAAGCTGAGCTCGTGGTCGATGCCCACGCGCGCGACCTCGCGCTTCAACTCGTGGGGGGCGTCCTGGCAGGTACGCAGGCGCTTGGCCTCGTGCTCCTGCTCGTGGGGGTCGCCCCGGCAGCTGCGGAGGCGATCCGTCTTGCGGCTCATGCCCTCCACCAGCTCGTGCCCGTCAATGCGCAGGCGCTCGCCCTCGCACTGCGCGACGCCGCCGAACATGGAGAGGGCGGGCTCTCCGTTCCTCCACTTCCACCTGCGGTAGGTAGCGCCCACCTCGGTCAGCTTCCCCGCGGCAACGACCCTGCAGGAGGGAGCTGGGCCCCCGGGGGGAGTTCTCCGCCCGGCCCCCCCAGAGCCTCCTGGAGCGGCGCCGACGCCAGCGCCGAAGAGAGGTGCGGAGGACCCAGGAGGGAGGGGATCAGAAGGGTTGGAGGCCGCGCCTCGGAGTTCACCCACCCGGAGGGTGCCCCTGGCGCGGGTGCAGGAGGCCGGCGGGGCCCTGGCGCCGATTGCAGCGCCCCCTGCAGCACCGACCACGGAGGGGTAGGGCCTGCCCCCTGCTTAGGATGCCATCCACGGGCGCCTGCAGGTCCCGGGTATCCTCCAAAGGCCTCACCCCGGCAGGGACGCCCTCCAAGTGCTTCTCCTGGGCCTGGAGGTCCATCGGCGGCGGCCTTCCGGCCGCAGTAACTGGGGCTCGGGCGTCCTTCCGGGGCCCCTCCACGACCAGGTCGTCCTCGATGCGGCCCCGCGTCGGCGCGTCGGGGTCGGCGTCGGGGTCGCCAGCGTCGGCATCGGCGTCGGGATCGACAGCGTCGGCGTTAGGGTCGTCCGCCCCAATGTCGGTGCCTGCGCCGGGGGCGTCGGCGTCGGCGTCAGCGTCGGGACAGCCTCCATCGCGGGTAGCCTCCACCGCAGGTAGCCCGCCGCGAGCGCTGGCACGACCAGCTGCGGCTCCCGCGCCTGCATCGTAGGTGTCCGCGTCGATGTTCTGGCCGTCGGTGCCGGCGTCGGTGCCTTTGGCGATGGCGTCAGCGGGCGGGCTGCCCTCTCCCGCTTGCGTCGGGGTAAGGGTCGTCGGTCGCGGCGCCCGGGTCGTCCGCGTCGGCGCCCGCTCCCCCAGGGGCTCCCCCATGGCCAGGACGACCTCCAAGGGCCCTGCCACGACCGGGATGTCCTCCGCGGGTCCCTCCCCAGCCAGGGAGTCCTCCCCAGGCCCCTCCGTCGGCCTCGGCGCGGCGTAGGGGACCTCCTCCCGACTCCTTCCTTCCGTGAGGCCTGCGACGATGCCAGCGTTGGGGTCGTCGGCGGAGACGGCGTCGGCGCCGGCGTCAGCGTCGGCGCCCCCGTCGGCGTCAGAGTCGGCGTCGGAGCCGCCAGCCTCAGCGCTGGCGTCGGGGTCCCGGCTTCGGCGCCGGCGTCGGGGGCGTAGGCGTCCGCGTCAGGGTCGGAGTCGCCTCCACCGCAGGTGGCTTCCACCGAAGAGGATCCCCCGCGGGTGCGGGCCCGACCAGTGTCGGGGTCGCCGCCGGCGTCAGCGGCGGCGTCGGCGTCCGCGCTGGCGCCGGGGTCGACCACGTTCACGTCAGGTCTGACACCGGAGGTGGCGACTGCGGCCAGCTCGCCGGGGCCAGCGGGGTAGCCCGTGCTGGCGCCGTCATAACGAGCGTCGGCGTGGTTGGCGTCAGCGTCGGCATCGGCGCTGGCGTCGGTGGCGGCGTCTGCGTCGGTGTCGTCGTCGGTATCGGCGTTGGCGTCGGCGTCGGCACCAGCGTGTACGATCGGCGTCGTCGGCTTCGGCGTCGGCGACGGCGTCGGCGTCGGCGTCGGGCGCGGCCGGTCCATTCCCGGCGCCGCGACCGCCGCCTTCCTCACCCAAGGGTGCCTCCAGCTCCATGTCCAATACATCCACCGAGGGTCCCTCCCTGATCACGGCATCCTCCGCCAGCGCCACCTTCAAGACCGGGCCGTCCCCCAAGGGTTCTTTAACCGCCCGCGGCGGCCCGGGGGGGCCTCTCCCTCCCCGGAGGGGCGTCTCCCTCCCCGAAGGGTCATTCCCCTCCCCGAGGGGGCACCCCCCTCCCCGAGAGGTCGTCTTCCTCCCCGGAGGAGCGCCCCCCTCCCCGAGGGGGGCGTCGCCGGCGGCGCCGTCGGGGAGGCAGCCGGGGCCGCAGTCGCGGCCGCCTCGGGGAAGGCTGCCGGCGCCTCCGTCGGGCTTGCCCTGGGCGCCGCCGCCGGCGCTCCTGTCGGGGCCCGTGTGGACGAGGCCGCCGGCGGGGCCGTCGGCGCCGCCGGTGAGGCGGTAGGTGCCGCCGTCGCAGCTGCCGCGGATGTGGCCGGCGGCGCTGCCACCAGGCCCGTCCAGCGTCGCCATCTCTGGGGGAAGCTCCGCCCCCCCGAGCTCGGCGTCGTCGGGGCTGTCCTCCGCCGTGACCCCCTCCTTGGTGTCGTCGTCGCTGGGGTCGTCCCAGCCAAGATCCCCACCAGCATGGTCCAGGCAATGGCACTCCAGCTCCTCCACGCGGTCCTCCCCCGCCCTCAGCGTCGGGGTGGGTAGCGCGCGCGCCTGGCGAGTCGCTCCCCTGTGGTCGTCGGCGTCGGCAGGGGTGCCCTCCGCTCCGGGGGGGTCATTGGGGGCCTTGGCCTGGGGCCCGGGCCGCCCTTCCAGGGCCTCGAAGCGAGGGCGGAGGAGCCCTTCCAGCTCGGGCCTTGCCCCCTCCCAGGGCGTCGCCCCACCTGCCGGCTTCGCCCTCGTCCGCAGCGGCGACGCCGACGCCGGCCTCAGGGCGGGCCATGCCGCTGTCTCCTGCGCTCGCTCGGCTCCCGAGTCGGCGCCGGCGGCGGGGATCTCGCGGGGCTCGGCCGGGCACCCGCGGGTGCGGACTCCGAGGCTGGCCATTTTCTCGTCGTCGCTGTGCTCCATGGGGTCGGTGCTGTCCTCCCTGCTGGCGTCGGTGCTGCCCGCGTCTTGCGCCGCCTCGTCGTCGTCGCCGTGCTCGGGAGGGTCGGTGCCGAAGTCAGTGCTGGCGTCGGACGTGTCATCTCCCTCGTCCTCCGCTCGGCGTTCGGCATGCGCCCGGCGCCCAGCCTGCCGGGGCCCTCCCCTGGCAGAGGCGTCCTCCGTCCGTTGGGGTCCCCCCTCCACGGCCGGGCTCCTCCGCGTAGGCGTCTGCGTCCGCGTCAGCGTCGGCGTCAGCGTCAGCGTCCCCGCCCATGGCGCCGGCGGGGGCGGCACGGCCGCGTCGGCAGGCGCTCCGGCGGGGTCCAGCGGCGCTGGCGCCATCCCGCCTGGCACCGCTCGCTGGCTCTGCGACGCCTGCGCGGAGCGCTCGAGCGGCACGCCCACCTCTGGCGGGCCTGCGGCGGCAGCGGCCAGCAGCGGCGGCAGCGGCTCTACGTCGGGGAGCTCGGCGTCGGCGCGCGGCGACGGCCCCCCGCCCAAGGGCACTGCGCCAGGGCCATCCCCGACCAGGTCTGGGCTGGTTGCCGCTGGCCGCTCGCCGCCCAGAGGCGTGCCGGGGTCGCGCCAGCGCGGAGGGGCTGCTGGGCCTTGATCTGGGGTCCGCGCCTCGCCCTCGCGATCCTCCGCCGCCGCGCCGCCCTCCTCGGCGGTCGCGCCGCCCGCGCCAGCGGGCGCCCGGGCCGCGCCGGGAGCCGCCAGGGACGAATTCTGAGCGCTCATGCATGCGCGCTCAGAATTCCCTGGGCCCCCCCCGGGGCCGTCGGGGGCCCCGCCGGAGCCGTCAGCCGGGCCGCTGGCGCCCGCGCCGCCGAGGCCAGCGTCGGCGCCGCCGGCCAGCGCGAGCGTCGCCGAGGTCAGCGCGGGCGCGAACAGCTCGCCACCAGGGCCGCCGGCAGCCAAGCCCCCTTGGGCAACGCCCACGGCGGCTCCCAGGAGCGGGACTCCAAGGCCGAGGGCAGGACCTTCCCCGTCCATCTGCGCCCCAGCCTCCTCCAGTCTTCCTCCCCTCGATTCCGCGAGCGGGACCGCGGTGGCAGCCATGGCCTCCATCCCACTCTCCGGATCGCCGACGTCCTCCACCTCGATGCCCTCGCCCCCGTCGTCGTCGGGGTCAAGCTTGCCGTCGGCGTCGGGGTCCTCCCTCGCCAGGGCCTTCTGCTCGGCCTCTGAGTCGGCGCCAGCGGCGGGAGTCTCCCCGCCCGGGTGAGGGCGTTCAGATGGGTTTAGCCGCAGGCTTCGCCCCCCCCGCGGGTGGGTGGGTGGGTTTTTCGCCAGGGCCTCCTGGGCGCTGGCCGTATCGCGCGCCCGGGGGGCCCCCTCCGTCTCCGCGTTGGCTGCTCCGCAGTCCTTAATAATACGGCCGCCCGCCGTGGTCGAGGTCGTCGTCCCTCCAGGGGCCTCTGGGGGCTGCGGGTAGCTCCGCGCCGCGGGCGGCACAGGCCGGTCCAGGGCGAGGTCTCCAGAGGCCTCCGGGGGCTGAGAGGAGCCCCGCGCCTCCGGCGGCCCAGGCCGATCCAGGCCAAAATCTCCAGAGGCCTCCGGGGGCTGCGGGGAGCTCCGCGCATCCGGCGGCACCGGCCAATCCAGGCCCGAACCTCCAGAGGCCTCCGGGTGCTGCGGGTCGTCCCACGCCTCCGGCGGCCCAGGCCGATCCAAGCTAGAATCTCCACAGGACTTTGGGGGCTGCGGGTAATAGCTCCGCGCCCCTGGCGGCACAGGCCGATCCAGGCCGAAATCTCCAGAGGCTCCCGGGGGCTGCGGGTCGCTCCGCGCCTCCGGCGGCACAGGCCAGTCTCCTCCCTCCCCAGGGCGTCGCGGCAGCCGCGTCAGGGTCGGGACGGCCGCCACCCTCTGGGCTGCCGCCTGGGTCACCGGGCCGAACACGTCGAGGTCCTCTCCGGGGCGTCGCGCCGGCCACTCCCGGGCCGGGACCGCCGCCATCCTCTGGGCCGCCGCCTGGGTCCCCAGGCCGAACACGTCGAGGTCCCCTCTGGGTTGTCGCGCCGGCCACTCCAGGGCCGGGACCGCCGCCACCCTCTGGGCTGCCGCCTGGGTCACCCGGCCGAACACGTCGCGGTCCCCTCCGGGGCGTCGCGCCGGCCACTCCAGAGCCGGGACTGCCGCCACCCTCTGGGCCGCCGCCTGAGTCACCAGGCCGAACACGTCGAAGTCCCCTCCGGGGAGCTGCGCCGGCCACTCCAGGGCCGGGGCCGTCGCCACCCTCTGGGCTGCCGCCTGGGTCACCAGGCCGGCCACCGATGGAGACCCCGCGGCGGCAGGCGTGGCCAAGAAGGCTCCCGCACCTTGCGTGGTCGAGGTGGCTCCCACAGCTTGTGTGGCCGTGTCCCCAAGGCTGCAGCCGTCCCGGCGATCGCCAGCACCCCGAGGGTCCCCCGCGTCCCGAAGACCGCCCGCGTCCCGAAGATCGCCAGCGTCCAGGAGGTAACCGTCGTCCCGAAGCGCGCCCTGGAGATCGCCAGCGTCCCGAAGATCGCCTCCAGCGCTCCGAAGGGCGTCCCGTTGAGCGCCTCCCGCGCCCCGAAGAACACCTCCATCGTCCCGAAGCTCGCCTCCGTCGTCCCGAGGATCGCCTCCTCCAGCATCCCGTAGGTCGCCTCCAGCGTCCCGACGCTCGCCTCCAGCGTCTCGAAGGTCGCCAGAGGCGTCCCGAGGAGGGTCCGGCGGGGCCTGGCTTTCCTGGTTGCTCCCAGTACCCCGAAGATCGCCTCCAGCGTCCCGTAGTACATTTCCCGCCAAGGGGGCACCCGCCGCCTGCAGGGCCGAGGAGGGTCCCTCCGATTGGGTGGCCGGCGCAGCTCTCGCTGCCTGCCAGCGTTCGGCCAGCAGGCACTGCCCATCCACCCCTGCGCTGCCTCCCGAAACGGCGCCGGCGCCGCACCCACGTCGGTGACGGCGTCGCCGGTGGGACGGTACCCTGCTCGAGGGGTCCAAGCGAAGGCGCCGGCGGGACACCCCCGGGACCCCCCGCGGAGGCTCAGCAGGAGGCGGGAGGCGGTCTGGAAGTCGGCCTCGATGGGGAACGTCCCCGAAAGCTCGTCCTGAGGGATGTGCTCCTGGATCCACTGGAGGCCTGCTAGGTACCTGGCGTAGGGTACCCGCTCCTCCCAAGGGCCGAGGTCCTCCTCCATCCAGCCGCGGAGAGGGCGGAGTGAACCCAGAGGTCCTCAGGATCCACTTTCTGGATCCGGAAGAAAAGTGGGTCCAAGACGAAAAGTGGATCCAGAAAAAGGTCCAACAGAAAAGTGGATCCAGTAAAACGCGTTTTTACATAGGTATGCCATTTCTATGTGTATATATATATATATATATATGCATGTACGCTTATATGTGCATATATACACATACACCATATCAACATTATTACATATGTATGTATATGTATGTGTGTATATATACAACTACATACATGTGCGTACGTGTATATGCACATTACTTCCATGTACACACGCCCGTACGTTCCTCTCGTGTTGTTGCCGTCTCTCTCGCTCGCGCCTCCCTCGCTCTCGCTCTCCCGCCTCTCGTCCACCTCAAGGCCGCGCGCCGCGGCCGCGCGGCGGCCCCGCCACCGCTTCGCGCGCGCGCGCGGGCGGCCGCGCCCCGCGGGGGGCGGCCGCAGAGGAGGCCAGGAGGCCCCAGGCAGAGGAGGCTAGGAGGCCAGGGCCCAGGCAGAGGAGAAGGAGGCCCCATGGGGCCAAAGAGCTCTAGGAAGCCGAAGGCGGAGGAGGCTCGGGCAGCGGAGGCCACGACGGCAGACAAGAGCAAAGGTGGCAGAGGAGGCCAAGCGAGGCCAGCCTCCGAGCTCACGAGCGACCAGACAACCAAGCTGGCGCGGGTGATGCTGAAATCCGTCCTGGATCCCGAGAGTGTGTGCGCCGATACGGACGGGACCTCGGCCGATGATGTGGTGGAGCACGTGAAACTCGTTTCAGGCATCCGCGCCGTCTTGGCGCCGCGCGACACGTGCAGCCAGTCGCAGCTGACGTCCGTCCTCGTCGCACACGCTCGGGTGAAGGAGGCCAAGTGGCAGCTGGACGACACCGCCGAGAGCTGGGCCGATCAGGTGGCCACGAAAATACCACGGGGCTGTCGCCGCTACCGCCGCTGGTCATGGGGATGGGGAAGGATAGGGTGGGAGAGAGGGGGGAGAGAGGGAGAGAGAGAGAGAGAGAGGAGAGAAGAGAGAGAGAGAGAGAGAGAGAGAGAGAGATAGAGAGAGAGAGGGGGAGAGAGAGAGAGAGAGAGAGATGAGGCTATGGGCGGAGGTTGGGGAGGGAGGGAGGGGGTGAGAAGGGGTCGGGCACGATGCAATTTCTGCCAAATTTATTCCAAATTCATTCTGGAATAAATTTGGAATAAATTTGGTAGACATTGCATCTTGCAAGCCCTCTTCGCGCCTCCAGCCTCAAACATCGAACCTCCTGGGCCCGATGCAACTTCCACACGCTCAACCCCCACCCCAAGGAAGGGGGGGGCAGCGGATTCGTGCCATGCTGCGCGTGGTGAGCCAGGCAGGGATCAAGGCGCGAGACAGGGAGCCCTACGCGTGGCTGGAGGACCACTTCCCAGAGGTGGTGCAGGACGCGACGGGGGCGGGAAGCTGGGAGGATGGAGCAGGCGAGGAGTGAGTGTAGATGCAGCGACGGGGCGACGGCGATGACGAGGACGAGGGAGGATGAGGATGACAGAGGGGGTGGTGAGGAGAGGTCGGGCCCGATGCAGGTTCGACTTACCTCGCGCTCGCCTTCTCCACGCCTCCGCATCCCGCGCACCCCCCCTTCAGGAAGCGAAGCAGAAGGCCGCGGGCGAAAACAACTACGACTACGAGTGGGACAACAACAAGAAGGCGGCGTACCGCCAGAAAGGCCCTGCGAAGAGGCGCTCGCCGCCAGAGTACGGAGTGCCCATGAAGGGGCAGCAGCCAGACGATGAGCTCGCCTTCACGTGGCCAGACGAGGCGGTGTGGAAGGTGCCAGGATACACGGTGCGCGAGCACCAGGCCAACGTTTCCGACAAGAAGGGTGGCTCGAGCGGCGATCTGCACCATGTGGATACGGATCAGGGCTCCGTCACCGTGACGAAGTACTCGAGGCCGCCCGCTAAAGCTGGCGCCGACAGGCAAGAGTTCGTCGCCGTCTGGATCAAGAAAGAAGGCGATAAGAGGCCAGCGATGGTCGGGCAGGTGACGGTGAAGCCACATTTCGAGAAGCTCGAGGAGTTCATGATCAAGCTCGCGAAGAATTACGCAGGAGACTTCAGCCAGGAGAAGTTCGAGCTCGCTAAACAGGAGTACCTCAAGAGCTATGGCGGGTACGGCGGGCCCAAAAAGGCGGCGAAGGAAAGGCCAGGGGCGGCGGAGCCAGCGAAGCCAGTCGAGGACGAGGCAGTGAGGAAAAGGCCAGCAGCACGCGCGCCGATGCGAAAACCACCGGCACACGAACCAGAATGTGCGCCAGAGGGGGGCGACGAAGACCAGGAGACGGAGGCGGAAGAGGAGGAGGATGAAAGCGCCGCTGAGGACGAGGATGAGGGTGAGGATGAAGGCCCAGGCGAAGATGAGGACGACGACGGCGATGGCAACAGCCAGGCGTCGAGCCAGAGCCAGAGTGAGGAAACGGTCGCAGCCGCGACCGCGGCCAGGAAGGACACAAAGAAGGATGACCCCGAGCAGAAGCGCCCCCCAAAGAAGGACAAAACGACGAAGATGGGGGAAAACCCTGAGAAGAAAGACTCCAAGAAGCGCATGCGCAGCCCAGAGAAGAGGAGCCCGAGGAGCGCAAAGAGGAGCGCAGCCCAGCACGCCGTGAGCGATTCGGACCTCAGCGTGGGCTCGGGCTTCGGAGGCTAGGAGCGGCAGAAGAGGCAGAGGAGGCTGAGGAGCGAGGAGGAGCGAGGAGGAACGAGGAAGCTCGAGTGGCTCCAGGCTCGCGAGCTCTGCGTGAGGAAGCCCGCGCGCAGGCCGCCGCCCCTCCGGCCTCGCGGGCAGGAGGCTGGATCCCACGTCCGCCGCGCGGAGAGGCAAGTCAATGGCGGGGGGGTGAGTAGGTGGAGGGGTGAGTGGAGCGGTGAGTAGGCGAGTGAGGGTGGAGGTGTGAGTAGGAGGGGTGGGAGGGTGGGGGGGAGGGGTTAGTAGGAGGGTAGATGGGGTGAGCAGGAGGGTGGAGGGTGAGTAGGAGGGGTGGAGGGGTGAGCAGGCGGGTGGAGGGTGGCAGGGGCGAAGACGAGCGCTGCGTGGGGGGGCGCATCGGCAGCCACTCTGGCTCAAGGACAACACGCATGCCGCGCGAGCAGCCCGCCGTCAGGTTTGCAGATATCAGGAAGTACGCCGTGATAGTGCCGATGAGCCAGGTCAAGGCCACGCCGCCGAGGCGCCGTCGTTCTGCCAAAAGCAGCTCTGGCAGCACGAGCGGCCAAAGCATTACGAGCAGCCCCCATGCGGCCAATAGCCCATCAGAGCTCACCCCCGCCACCCGCAAGAGCTTCGAAGATGTCGAGGAGTGGATGCTTGGCAGCATCGATCTGGGAGGAGGCCGCCTGTCGACCGAGGAGGAGGCGGCTGAGGCTGAGGAGAAGAATGAGGCGAAGGAGGTTGAGGCTGAGGAGCAGAAGGAGGCGAAGGAGGGTGAGGCTGAGGACGTGGATGTGGTTGGGGATGCGGCTGAGGAAGCGAAGGCGGCTGGAGAGGGTGAGGAGGAGAAGAAGGTTGATGACGATAAGGCCAAGGAGGAGGCGGCGAAGAAGGCTGCAAGCGAGTCGGAGGACGAGCAGCTCCAGGACATCGCTGAGCAGGTTAAGAAGGCAAAGGCGGCCAGCATGGCGACGCTGAAGAAAGAGCAGGACCGATCGCACCACCTTCAACGCTCTCTCGCCAACCCATCTTGCCATCCCCCATCCGTCCTTGCCGCACCGCCCCGAGGAGCGCATCGCGGCTCGCATCGCGGCTGATGGTGCAGCAGAAGAAGAGGGCTCGAAGGACTGCCCCCCCACCCGCGATGCAATTTCTACCAAATTTATTCCGAATTTATTCCAGAATAAATTTGGAATAAATGTGGTAGAAATGTTGATCGGACGTCTGTATAGTTTCAGCGTGTATGTGTGTGTGCGTGCGTGCTTGATGTACGTGTGTTGTATGATGATATACGGACTACTAAAAGAAAATAGCACGCGCGCACGCAATATTTTATACATATATATATATATATAGCAAACGAGAAAACACAACACCACACACAATACAAAACAAAAACGTACAGGAGGCAGCGCAGCCGAAGGAGAAGAGCCGCAAAGCAGAGGAGGAGGCGCAGAAGAGGGTGAGGAGGCAACATGATGAGGACGAGGCGGCACGTCTGAAGAAGGCGAGGGGCAACTCGAGATCGTCCTCACCCCAAGGTGCGAAGCCTGCGTGGGCTGGCGTGCACTGCGGAGACGGCGAGTCCCCCGCCCCGACATCGGTGGTATCGAGCGGCTCCTCGGGAATAGCCCCAATCGGGGGTCACCGTTCGATGGGCATCACGGCCACTTCTCGCGAGCCGATTGGAACATCCAACCATATGTTCTCGAACACGTTCCCCGACAGCAAGGAGTGTCTGATATCGGCGATCGACTGCGAGATCAGAGCCATCAACGACGAGATGTCATGCCATCCATGCCCCGACGAGCGCACGATGGAGCATGCGAACATCAGGCTGGGACAGTTCTTTCAGTCTGGGCTCGTACAGAAGATGACAGCGTTGAAGAAAGCAGATCCCAGCTTCAACTACGAGGATGAGGAAAAGCTCCCAGAAGAAGGCGAAGATGCGGACGACGGCCTCAGTAAGAAAGACAAGGAGGAGAAGAAATTCTATGAGGAGATGGAAAAGAACAACTTCATGTTCACCACGGAGACGAGATCGGGAAACAAAGTCGGTGGGCGTTGGAGCAAGGCGCTAGCGGCGTCCGAGAAGCTGAGGAGGGACTACGCGGAGCAGAAGGGATGGCCAGCCCAGCGGACGTTCAGAGCGAACTGGCTCAAGCTCGAGAAGGCGGCTTGGGAGAAGACGGTGACGTACGTGAAAAAGGAGACGCATGAGAAGGAGGATAAGAGAAAGGGCGAATACGTCACCCTGATGAGGCTGGCGTGGCTCAAGGGTGG